TAGTGCCTAAAGATTACTCCATGCGGCTATAAACGACTGTTAAATGGAATGATGAATTGTTGAAGAATTGTGAACATGGAAAAAATGATAGTCATGCCGGCCCAGCGTCATCAACGTTGAAAAATGCCCCAGCACGAAGTGGTTAACCAATCCATTCCAGTTTAAGTTGATTCACTAACCTGTGAAGGTGGGTTGATCTGAGACTGTGATTTGGAATATTTTTATTGAAAATCTGCTACGATTTAAATAGGGACAATATTTCTATGGTGTGTCTTGGGAATATTTTTTAGATATTCAGTAGTGTTCTTTAGGACAAGCTTTGAAGATTTTTAGAGCAGCTTGTTTTGTTGAGCCTTTACTTGATACTAATATTCTTATTCCAGGATTGATACTTTGACAAAACAGTACTCCGAATTAGAAGATGAGTTTCGTCTTGGCCTCCAGATGGAAGCAGAGAGATTTCGTGAGGTACATGTATAATTGTTAAATGTTATTCTGTGAAGCTCTCCTTTATTTTAAAACCTGACATTGTTCAAAAACATTTCTCTGAAAATTATGATTTTTATATTTATGTCTGATGTAGCCATGACCACGAGTACCTTTCTTGTTGCATGTTGTATGATATCCATCACAACAGTGTCATCAGTAAAATACTTTCTTTACCTGTTTGAAATGTTGTAGCTTCAAGATGCATTTGAGAGAGTTAGCCATGAGTCTTCCGTTGCCAAAAACACACTTGCAGCAATGACAGACAAAGAGAGGAGATCATCTAGCATGGTTGCTGAACTAACTGCTGTGAGTCTGTTCTGTTTCTTGACAAAATCTAGGGCTGGACTTAAATTAGTTCATTTGCATGTTTAGTGCATTTTCTACGTTACCATATAGCTTGAACTGGATAAACAGGAACTGATGTTTTTCCATGCACATCACCTCTCACCATGCCAAGCCTAAGACAATTGTCTGATTTTACACTGTAGCTGGAGGATTAGGGTTAATAAGCAGTACAAGTAGTATTATGGGGACACTATCCATTGTGCTTTCTGGGACTTGGTCAACGGGCATGTAGCCAATGAGGAAGCTATATCAACCATTCAAACCTGATGTGCTTCGTAGTGCAGTGTTGTTGGATCTGATCCAGCTAGTAAACACTGGTAGGCATGAGGTTGCAGCAAGTACAGTGTTGCAGGTTCTGATCAAGCTAGTCAACCCTGGTAGGCATTATGTTGCAGCAAGTACAGTGTTGCATGTTCTGATCCAGCTAGTCAACCCTGGTAGGCATTATGTTGCAGCAAGTACAGTGTTGCAGGTTCTGATCCAGCTAGTCAACCCTGGTAGGCATTATGTTGCAGCAAGTAGTGTCGCATGTTCTGATCCAGCCATTTAACCCTGGTAGGCATTATGTTGCAGCAAGTACAGTGTTGCAGGTTCTGATCCAGCCAGTCAACCCTGGTAGGCATTATGTTGCAGCAAGTAGTGTCGCAGGTTCTGATCCAGCCAGTCAACCC